AACAATGTGATTCCCAAGAAGCTATTAGCTGAAATCTTGGCACATGTCAGCATAGTGTACAGTGGGAAACTGGACAAGTGGAGGACAAACGTGGCAGGCCTAAAAATCTGCAGCTGATGAACAGTATTTGAAAGTCATGATCTTAAGAAATAGAAAAACAGCAAAGATCTGACACAGGAGCTGAGACATAGCCCTTCAATTGATCTACTGTTCACTGAAGCCTCATCAGAATTGTTCTCAGTGGAAGGGTGGCTGTCAAGAAGCCACTCTTAAGGACTGGAAACAGAGAGAAAAGGCTGAGTTTTGCTCCTCTACTGAAAATCAGTGGCAGCAGCAAGTCTTGTAAAGTGATTAATCCAAACTTCAGGATGGAGTTATGAACAGGGAAAAGTACCATCAGATTTTGATCCACCATCACATACTATCTGCTAAGCATGTGATTGGCAGTCGCTTCATTTTTCAGCAAGACAATGCAGTAAAAGCATACCTGGATAGAAAAACATACAATGGAACACCATCAGTCATGGATCAGCGTCCCCAGAGCTGGGACTTCAAGGGGTGTGGGATCATCTTGAGAAAACAGAACGAAAGACAGCCAACATCCAAAGAAGAGCTTTGAATGTCCTTCAAGAAGCCTGGAGAACAATTCCTGAAGACTACTTAAAGAATTAAGAAGAAAGTAAGCCTAAAAGAGTTCAGGCTGTGTTGAAGAATAAAGTTGGTCATACCAATTTCCCAAGCAACATATAAAGAAATAAATAGTGGCTCAAGACTTTTGCACAATACCTGTGATCTATAGCATCTGTGTCTCTCCTGCATTGCTTGCAGTTCTGGTAATGGCTGCTCTCTAGCTCCATGATTAACCAGCAGAGGACATGTGCAGCTGCCACTGTGCCATCAGTTAATTGCACTGCAGCCCAATAACAGCTACTAGGTTAAACATGTCTCTAGAGGAATGTTTATTTTCAAGGCTTGTAGTGTGTTCCCCATTAATATGACCTGCATCTGCATAATCTACTGAAGTCTGGAGTGCTGACTTTTCACTCATACTAATGGTGTTAATTAGCCACGCGAGTTGTTTGGTTTTTGTTGACAAGAGCATCACCGCACTTTCTCATTAAAATCTCCACCCTTACGGCATGTTCACAAGCAACTACACAGTTCCCCAGATTGGTCTGGGAATGATCGTGTTACTCTGCCATCGCTCTCACCCACGTTTAGACCAAAAGCACACCGCAGCTGTCCCTGCATACCTCTGTAACAAGCCCCACGAGGCGGCACCTTAGGCCACCTCAGAGACTGCTCACATCCGTTCAGGCAGAGGTCCAAGTCAACAGGCCCGACCCAATAAAGCTCACAGAGCTCCCCGCTGCCTGGGAGCAGCCTCTCAGCTCGCCTCATAATTATTCTTTGGGCCCCGTTAAGAAGCCAGAGACTCTTTCCTTGCCCCATTACTCACACAGAGAGCCAAAGATGCTGCATAGAGGCTCCCCAGGCTGCACTATCACAAAGCCACAGCGGTGTAGGTAGGTAGAGGCGTACGTGCAAACAAACGCTCGGGCTCAAGTTGTATTTTAATGTTAAACATTCCGTCACTATCACCCACACAAAGTGATTAAGATGCTTTTCTCACAGAGAAACAGCTTGAAGCTTTTAGCTGGATAAAGGATAAAAATCCTCGATGTGCTCTTAGATTCAATCACTCCTGTGTTTGTTTAACGGGATCTAAGTTGTTTTTTTGGGAGGGGGATGCTGATATGGCTTTTGGGTTTAGACATGCCACTTTGCTGCCTGGGATTTCATTCATTACCACAGACCGGGAGAGCAGCCTTATTACCTGCACGTGTGCAATGGTTGGTTCAGAAGGAGAAGAAGTGACAAAGCAGCAAATTACAGCTTTTAAATAGGTAATTTGTGTGCTTGTGGGGAATCTCGGAGGGTGTGGCGTTTTCTCAGGTTCCTGCGACCGAGCATAAGGTGAAAATAAACTTGAGCCTAGATGATGACATTATCGGTAATCTAGTTCTCACTCATCAAGCATGCGAGCCAACCACTCACACGAGCACTGAAAAAGTAGCAATCATTAAAGAGAAAATGAGCCAGAAACCTGTCAAATGTTATATGCTAACCCGTCATCCCACGAGCCGCATCTGACGGCGTGACGTGGAAATTCAGGATGGGAAGAAAAAGAAAATCCACAGTGTGTGACGCTACCTGATGGCAACATTAGACAATCTGCTGCACGTCTTACAAACATTTATAATATATGCCAACGTGACAGTGACATTTGCTTTAATTGGGTTATTTGCACAGTGATTAAAATGGATCATGAAGGACAGATTTCTATATGATGAATTATATTTCACAATGTCTACTACAGATTTATGGGATTAGGCGTGACCGTGATGCCAATCAGCCCATATGCTGGATTTTAATAAACTGGAGCCCTGCACTGAATCTATAAATCTAAATAATTAGCCAACAGAAGTAGTTGTCAGAGCTGGTACATGTCTTATTAAGTAGAGAGAGAAAACAGGTACATATATCAGTATCAAAGCTAACATGGGGCTGATCTCGCACGGATAACACTTTAAACTCCAAATGCATGGACGCTCACGCACACCTGCTCTGATGCAAACGAGCTGTTTGCTTTTTTTGTAATTTATGATCACATCGCTCTTGTTGATTTAGTAAGCTGCCTTAATTCAAGGCGCTGTTGCTACCCACATTTATTCCACAAATAAAAGAAGGAGGGAACAATACCTGAAATCAACAGGAATCTGTGGTCGTCTCTGGACCTTTTTATGAGAGCCTACATTTCAAAGCCTAATCACCCTCTTTTTATTCATTTTAAGGATTGTAGCTGCTGCACACAGTTTAGCAGAAATGTAGTGCTTCAAATCTTGGTTAGTACAATAAATGACAAGCTAAAAGGTTTATTTTTATGTTTTTGAAATCCTGCTAAAGATGCACCTCAGTAGGCAGAACATTTTGGGTAAACAACAGTGAATTTGCTCTGTATATACACTGTAGTGTATATTTAAAATGATCATTGTTATTACATGGGGTCTGTTGGGGGCCTCTGTAGGAGCACAGGGGAGCAGCAGCACAGCCTGTGAAGCTCACGGTGAAGCAGCTGTTTATGTAATTTTGGCTGCCACAGCACTGCAGAGCCTCAAACAGGAGATCAGGGGAAGAGACTGCACTGGAGGGGTGTGGACTGAGGGAAAGCATGAAGGCAAAGAAGAGCTGCCATGCAGTCTTTCAAACAACAGCTCCATCTAGTGGTCAGCACAGATAAAATAAAAACAGGGGTATTCCTTAAATTTTGATTTAGCGGTGACTCTTGCTCTTAATTACGTCCCGCTCCCTTTGTAGGAGCTTGTGTAAGAACTTGATTTGAGGCTATATCTTATAATACTGTCAAAGCTCTGTGGCTTAAAAACACTGCAGTGAATAGTGAGAATAGTAAGAACGAGAGTGCAAATGGACTTAAAGCAGATTATAAAACCTGGATTACAATTAGGATGCCAGTTCCCTGTCTTAGTTAAACATCTTTATGAGTTTTAAACCAAGGTTTGCCACGAATAAACAGAATCTCTCAGTTACTATGTCACTAGGTCTCTCAGTTGTGGTTTAAATGTTTTAGCAGTCCACAAATCAAAGATGCACAAGCGATATGAAACTTGACTCTGTCATACAATTATTATATCTATATATAGTTTAGGTCATTTAAGGATGCCACAGATGTTGGTGTCAGACAGATTTTCCCCACACAACCATTTTTTTGGTTTAAAGAGAATGGTCTGAAAACGAGACAACACCCAGTGAGCTGCAGTTCTCGGAAACGCCTTGTTGGTCACAAGAAGCGTCACAACTGGTTCTTGAAGACGACAGCGAGCTCTCTGTACTCAAACGGCCTCCACAGTCATCAGATGTCAATCCAGTAGAGCACCTCGTGGTGGAACGGGAGATTGACATCACGACGATGTCACAAAAATCACTGAGGAGTGATTCTAGCACTTTGTTGGAATTATGCCACAAAGAATTAAGGAAGTTGTAGTGCTCTGCTTTGAATGTAATTTTTATTAGTCCAAATGTTTTACAGCTGCCATGTACGATTAGCTTTACTTATGTTTCAAAGTAGTTCAAAAGTCTTCAACTGTCACAACTGGATAGAAATTGCTTTGACAGTTTTGAGATGTGTCCGTTTCAGATAACCGAGGACTGCCTCGATGGTGTTGTTTCCTTATCAAAAATCCCGATGATTAAACATACTTGGAGGGCATAACTGGAGAGAATATATGTAGGTCACAGGTTAAGCCTAAGAGAAATGATTTCTTTAATTGTTCTAAGATTGGAAAAATTACAGAAAGAAGTGCAAAGAACATAAAAAGAAACTCCAGAAAACAAGCGGGTCACTTGTAGATGGGTTTGAGGCTGGATTTTATTTAGTCCACTTTAAAATGTACATTTCTCTTGAGATTCATTAAAAAAGATAAAGCATTATCAGCTTTGCAGTCCATTTCACGAAGAGACTGCAATAAAGGAAAGAGTGAAGTAGGAGGAAGATGACTTAGTAGGCACATCTTTCAAACGATACATGTTAAATCTAATTGATGGCAAAATATGTACAGCTATGAGTTGTTTTTTTTGTTGTTTTTTTTAAATCACGTGGTAGCACATGCTTGGGATTTCTGCGGGAGAGCCGACAGTCAAGTCAAGTAAAGCAGGGATGTATGTAGGCAAGGACTTCCCGTCTCTAAAATATGCATCAAGTTGACTGCACGAGGCAGTCAATTTCCCAAAACTGTATGCCAGTTCAATTTAAAATAAATTAAACCTAAGTGGAGAGAGAAATGAGGAAGAGAAAGGAGAAATGAACCTGTGAAACTAATTGACCGCTTGTCAAACGAAGCATTTTAGCAGACTTTAGCAAATGTTCCTCCATATCAATCAATACTGAGCTAAAAAAAAAAAAAAAAAAAAAAAAAGGGGGGGGGGGGGGGATGGACAAGACATCCACCTGATACATTAACTCCAGAAATAAATTAGAAATGGAAAGTTGCATTAATATGCATTCATAAAGAGTACCTGATTTTTCTCTCTCTCTTTCTCTCTCTCTCGCTTTGATACCTTTGCATAACTTAGAGAAAACCTGTCACGTTCTTTTAAAAACTCACAGTAATTCATTCATTTATCACAAGTGCTGATACCATCGAGTCAGGTACAGGATTCTACCCTGCAGAATCCATATACCTTAGAGTCAAACATGCTGGATATTCCATACAAATAAAGGACACTTTTCCTGTTTATATACATAACACTATTGTACAGTCTTTGCACTTCCATTACAACAGATCGAAGCATCTCCACTTACTGAATAAATGGAAATCGAATCATGTTCAGTGGATTAAAAACCTCAAGTGAATCCGAAGCTTGACTTTTAGTACAGGTGCCTACGCAAGTGGAAGAAAAATCTAAAGTAATGCTTCTCTGAAATTTTGTCGTACTGGCTTTCCGGTTTGAAGTTCGCCTTAGACACAGTTTGGGGTCAGTTTCCTGAGCTGCTAACAGTGTCCATGGTAACTTCACCCTGCTCAAACAGCAGGAAAACAAAAAAACAAAAACACAACACCGTTAACGTGCTATGCTAACGTTTAGTGTTACGCTGACAGAGCTGTGATCATGTTATAAAGTGTTCTCACTTGCACTCCAAAACGACATCAAACAGCATTACAATTTTTAGGAAATGTTAACTCTGGATCAGCCCACAGGCCGCTAAAAGGTGAACGACGACATAACTAATCCGGAAAGAAGGCAGTGAATGTTCAAAGTTGGTGAGTCTGCTCAGGTCAAATCCTGCAAACAAGTCCAGTCTTTCCTCATGCTCTCAAACTGCATACAGCTTATTCCTGGACCACGCCCCTTTCTACAGCTGTACACACAGCGCTCCTTTAAGCCCGACAGCAGTGTAAACTAAACAACGTTGAGTGGCTATGACGCTCCACTGGCTCTTACACACTAGGGATCTTGTTAGGTTGGAACGAGACAGCTGGATCGTCCCAAAGCGAAAACCAGAACCAGCATTAGTGTGGAAGCTGTGGCGTTTTGGTAGTTTAGAGTGGGTTGGGTGGTGGGGTTGTGTTGTTGGGACAACAGGGTCACTTGGGTCCTTTGGAGGGCGTGTCTGTCTCTGTCAATTGGCGGCCATCGCTCCAGGCCTCCCGGGTGCTCTTAAGGGCCTGTGTTCGTTGCTGGTCCACAACTACATAGTCGACACGCTCGTCTGATGCTGTGATGCCAGTTCCATTGCTTTTCATCTGAGGAGAGATGAGGTCAGTCTTAAAAGTTTGGCCATAAATTTCCTCTGATTTAGAACGTGTGGTTTGGAGTATGGGCGCTGGTAAATTCCTACCTTCCTAGGTGGGGTAGACTTGCCAGAATCGAGATCCAAGTCCAAGTATTCTACCTGCTTGTCTCCCTTTGGTTTTACCACAGGGCTACTCCCACCGTCAGCATTCATGGGCGGAGCGAGCTTCGTGATCTGCGTAAGTCAGAAAAGGGATTTTTTTTTTTTTTAATTGATAGCAGAGTCACAGAGAAACACAGCTCATACTCAAATGCACCAATGTGTTGTCACAATGTCTAAAATATTCATGCAAATGGGTTTAGGTCTGAGAGCCCTAATCTAAGAGAGAGGGTGTTTGTGCACGTAGGGTTACAAAAACTCGTCATAAAAAGTGCAACTGTTGGGCACCAGTTTACCTCACTGGGTGAGCAGGTGCTCATATGCCTTGCGGCCGCTCACTCTCCCTCAATTTACTATTTACTCTTTCCTGCAAGGCTGTCAAAATAGAGGCAAAAAAGCCCCCAAAATATATGCATTTTTTAAAAAGACTGCAATTGTAGAGGAATGAACATATTCAATCAGTGACCATCTTTTCACGTAATTTGTCCCATTACTAATAATAGTTTCAAACCTTTAAAACAAAGAAAATTTCTACTTTAGGCATAGTGACAACAACTTGGGCCTGTAATTAGTGTTAATTCTGAAATACAGGTACGATGGAGAGATTAATTCGAATTAGGATGGTGACACAAAACTAAGAAATTCTAACTGTAAGGAAAGTGATGGTAGATAACGTCTGAAAATTCACTGCAACCTTTATATTCAAGCCGCGGCTTGTAGGTGGTTTTTGCACAGCAAAGTCTTCGTACTTTCTCAATAGCACCCAAAAATGACAGGGCGGGCTATGCACGTCTAACCTGGCAACCCCTGCTCACCTCCTCTATGGTGTCAAGTTCCTCCACCTCCCTCTTTACAGGGGTGATGGGGACTGTGCAGTAGAAGGACTCCTCTCTACACAGAGTAAGAAGAAAGTTGCAAAGGATGAAAGAAAAAAGGAGGAGAAAACAGCAGGTGGTTAAGAACAAAATGCAGGAATAAGGATGGCGATGGTAGAGAAATGAGAAACTAGGGAGAAAGCAAGAAATTAACAAGACTGATAAAAGGTCAGGAGGTCAGCAGACAATAGTAAAGCAAACGTTGGAAGAAAGTAAAAAAAAAAAAATTAACAGCAAAAAAAAGAAAGGAAAAAAAAAGGAAAACTGTGAACCGATTACCCAAAGTGTAAGAGAAAGTATCCCCGTAGGTAGAAAAGTCAGCTCATATAATAGTATCATTCTTCAGAGAGAGCAGTCAATTTTAAATGAGACCCATTAACTTCATTTCTTAATAGCCAATATTCCAATTTAAGACAACACCTGAAAAGTAAATGAAGAGAAAGAAGGAGCATAAAGAAAGCAGAGCAGGGCGAAAGCAGAACTGCAAAGAAACGGGTTGAAGTGGCGAGGAGTCCATCTGCAACAGCCAGTAATTTGTCCGCACTAATGTGTGGCTTAGGGAGAAGAGCACTGGAAATGGGATTTCTTAATAGTTTCAGTAAGCAATTACAGCTCAAAATTGCAAGTTGCATGGTGTATGATCCTCCAAACTGTCTGCCTCAAACTAAAGCTTCTGCTGTGATTATTTGTGTGTTTGCAGATTTAATTTAAACGAGATGAAACTGATTGCAGACACCACAAAAAAAAAGACATTTATCAGATTATCAGCTTTGATTATCTGTGAATAGAAAAAGGAAGGAGAAAAGTAATCTCTGTATCAGAGTATAGTTGTGTGTTACATACTGCTTCATCTGTGGACATATTAGGGTTCATGGCTACGTAATTCGGTTCAGTAGAGTCCTCGGAGTCAGTGCTGGAGGCCGTGCTATGCACTGACGGGGGTCTCGTTGGCATTGGAAACCTAGAAGGACTAAGCAGCATTCACAATGTTTACACACTGACTTCCCAGAAATTACAGTCTCTGGTGAGCACAAAATATAATACAGACATAACAGCCCAAACCCACTGCAGCCAGAAGAGTCCCTACAGCACCAAAGCACACAAATAAACCTCATCTCAGATAAGCCAACAAACTTCCTTCAGTATAATACAGAATCCTGTTTTATGAGCAGTGCTACTTTGGTCACAGAGTGACTACAGTAAAGCATGAAGTATTAGTGCCTACATCTTTAGTTAACTGGATCTACTACAAAAGGGCACGTTCACACCAAAAGAAAAATAAACTTTCACTGCATGTTGTGGCAGAGAGTAAAAAAAAAACCAGGACAATCCAGACTTAACATTAGCTGCTATACACATGCAGTATGTTTAAGGTTCTGAACAGGGAGCGAGGGACGGTGTGTCTTCTGGGACAATGATCTTGCTGCAAAGAGCTGTGTGAACATGCCCTTATTTGTTAGCCAAACACTGAACTATAGAAAAGCTGAGAAACGCCTTAGGTACTTACTCTCGAGCGAACGACCGTGTCACAGGTGAGCGGACAGGTGTGCTTGGCTCATCCCATTCTGGCACTGGTTTGATCTCTAGTGGGGCAGGTTTTACTGCAGGAAGGAACACACAGCAGTCAGCCACTGCTCGAGAAGCATCCTTAAACTGTACAGGGTGGGCCATTTATATGGATACACCGTAATAAAATGGGAATGGTTGGTGATATTAAAGTCCTGTGTGAGGGGGCAAATTCCTCAAGATGGGTGGTGACCATGGTGGCCATTTAGAAGTCGGCCATCTTGGATACAACTTTTGTTTTTTCCAATAGGAAGAGGGCCATGTGACACATCAAACTTATTGGTAATGTCACAAGAAAAACAATGGTGTGCTTGGTTTCAACGTAACTTTATTCTTTCATGAGTTATTTACAAGTTTCTCTTTGTTCACAGCCATTGACATGTCGAAGAGGTTAACACGTAAACGCAGTAACCGGGTCATTGCAGCAGATTTCAATGCAAGAAAAAACCCTACGAGACCACCCATCTCCCATGCTACAGTTAGCAAACTCCTTGCTACGTTTCGTGAAACTGGTTCAGTGTTGGATTTGCCAAAATGTGGATGCAAGAAAACTGTCACTGATAAAGAAACATCAGTGGATGTCCTAGCTTCATTCAGCAAGAGCCCACAGCGTAGCACTCGCCGCATGTCACTAGAGAGTGGCATTAGTTGAACATCCCTTCGGTGGATATTAGCTACTCACAAATGGCACCCTTACAAACTCCAGCTACTGCAGCATCTCAACGAGGATGACCCAGATTGGTGCACAGAATTTGCAGAATGGGCAAAACAAAAACTGGAACAGGACCCTCAGTTCACGCAGAAGATTTTGTTCAGTGATGA